GAAGTGGGGGTGGGGGGGGGATTGCGTTCAGGAGGCCGCAGGCGGGGCCTGCAAGAAGGTGCGGGATTTGGGGTGGCACGGCCAGGGTGACGCCGTAGTGGGGCGCCGAGAGATGCGGGGGGCTCGCCTTGCAGGCTGACTGGAAGAGGACGCGCGCGCACAGTTGGTGGGCCCACCGCCAAACCACGGCATTCAGGCACGCATATGCATCACCACGATCTCCGTCATCCCTCTGCCAGCCGTGCGGCGAGCCAGCGCCTCCACGCCTGTCCTGCCGCCCTCATTCCCCCCTCTGCTCTAGCAAGCTCGGAATCGCCCACCCACCTGGTGCAGCGCTTCTTCCCCTCCCCCCCTTCTCCCCTTCTCCCCTCCCACCCCGGCACTGCCCACCCACCTGGTGCAGCGCTGTCTGCAGCTCCTCCTCCACCACATCGATCCTGCCAGGGTGGGAGGAGCGCATATGCGTGCAGGAGGGGCCGTGCGGAAGGGGCCGCGTCAGAGCCGCCCGACCCTGTCAGAGCCAAGCAGCGCGGCTGCCTGGAGGGCGACCGAGCGCCGCCTCGCTGGGGCAGAGGGGGGAGCAGCGGCGTCTCAACTCGCGTGCCGAGCAGGGTTCGGGCGGTTTTTGTCGGTGGAGAGGTCGGGTGTCAGCCGCCCCATCATATTGCGACAAGGACCAGGCTTGTTTGATTTTCTCGCTGCAGCGGTGCTCTGTCCATACTGAAGCCCGATAAGCAAAGCAGTCCGCCCCCCGTGCCCGGCCTCCGTCCCCCGAAAACCCACAGCCACCTCTGCACGGGCCACCAAAGCCAACCACTGCTCCCTGATCCACGCACACGGTTCTAGGACATCAATATGCAAGAAGTCCCAGAGCGCATGTGAGTGACCCGCCGTGCCCCCCACCCCACCTGCAGGTGAACAGCGCGTGCACCAGCTGCATCAGCTCCGCCGCGTCCCCCGGCGACGCGCTGCCCTTGAACGCGCGGCTGTAGGCCGACGCAGACACAGACAGGTCGATGCGCTTGCCTGCAGGCGGGAGCAGGGGGGTCGGCGGCCGTCAGGCCTGCTCGTTTGACGAGCGGTGCTCTTGCGTGTGAGCGGGAGCGGGGGCGAGCGCACCGTCGGGCCTGTCAGGCCGCAGCTCGATCGGCGGGCGGCGCGCTCGCCTGGGAGCAAAAGCAGGCGGACGTGGCCGTCCGAGTCCATGCGGCAGCAGCCCCCCTCCCCCCCAAAAGAGGCAGCAACAGCCCAGTGTAGAGGGGAAAGGAGCATGCCGCAGAATTGGGTTCAATTCAACAATATTAACGTATAAATGAATGTGATCGGCCCCACCTGCGAGGATGTCGTTGAGGACCTGTGGCCTGTGGCCGTAGACCCCCAGCTCTCCGGCCAGGAGGTGCGCCATGCGGCCCACACCCAGCAGGGACGGGGGCAGCTGCGGTGTGTGTGTGTGTGTGTGTGTGTAAGGGAAAAGGAGATGAGTCATGCACGCGCGGCGCGTGGGGGGTCCTTCGTTGCGGTGATGTCAGCATGATGGCAGCAAGGAAGGGTGGAGGAACCACGCGCGAGCGGGCGGCGGCTGCGGGGAGCACAGCAGGGGGGCGCCCCACGGCCAGCAGCTTGGCGTCCCTCACGCCCCTCTCTTGTATCACCACCCCTCCTGCATCATCACCCCACCCACAACAGCCCGAGGACCGAACATAACAGAACAGCGGTACCGGCTGTCAAATTCGTACGCACACACACACACACACACACACACACACACACACACACACACACACACACATGCACGTGCGCGCGCAGACACACACGACCATACACACACGACCCCCCCCCACACACACATATGCACACACACACACACCAGAAACACGACACACCACACACACCCCACCTCGCTGAGCCCCCCCACGGCCAGCCCTGTGATCAGCAGCTCGTCATCCAGAAAGTCCCTCTCCTGCAGCACCACCCGCAGGCCGTTGGACAGCGTGAGCGCCACGCCACCAAGCTTGGGCAGGGGCGTCTCGCCCACGACGGCGCCGGGGGCGGGGGAGAAGGGCAGGATGGCGTCAGGCACGTCGTCCTGCCAGAAAGGGGGTGTGGTGGATGGGGTCGTGACGTCCCATGATTGGTATTATGACAAATGTTTTATGGTTTGATGTTTCCTGGGATAACCTCACGGTAGACGTCGTCATTGCGGGCATGAGTTTGACCCTGGCGCGGGGTGGTGTTCTGCTTGTGGTCGAGGCGGTTGCGACAGCAGGGCCCCCTGTCCCTTCCTCTCCCTGCCCCTTGCACCCCCACCCCCCCTGCCCCTAGGGGTGCACCCCCAGCTGAGCCCTACCTGCGCCCAGGGCCCGATGGCGCCGGCCTCCTCCGCCGCCTGCACGCGCCTCACGACCGCCAAAATGTCAGAGTCCCCGTGGCGG